ATTCCTGCACCGCCGCAGCCTTGCTTGCGAAAGCCGGCGCATGTCACTCTTTCGGCGTTTCGAAAGCGCCGTTTGCCAGCCCTCAAACGCTCCTCGGCAGCTAGCGCAATCTAGCTGACAAATTTCCTTGAATGCTAGGGCAACAACGGTGAGCTCACCTGCGCTCGCCTCAACCAGCTTGATTATGGTAGATTAATTCGAGTTCCAAACACAGCGTGGATACCGCATTCCCCGACTCCTAGGCCAGCTTTCCTTTTGACAGCGGATGCAATCCGGTCAGATGTGCACCATCAGGCGAAAAACGGCCAACGGTCTCTGAGTGGGTGTGAATGTGTGTCTGTGCAAGTGTGTTTCTCGCTTGTCTTCAATGCTTGGCCTGACTTGAACCCCCCCCTGAGGGGGGAACAAAAACCCCATTCCTTCATGCGTTTCTCGTTCTGCGACGCAAAAAAAACTATTCACTACGAGCATGGTGGCTAAGTCACATCAATCGAATTATGTCACATCATCCCAATGGTACGGCCTGAAAAGTTGGAAGTCACATCAGGGGCCCGAAAGTCACATCAGAAAATGGACTTCTGCATGGCACAGCCACTAACAGCTACTATGAGGAGTTTTGTATGAACAACAGCAAACATTGCGCACAACAGTAAATCCTGACACATTCTGACTTGTTCGAATGAAATTTGAAGGCAAATCACATTGGCACAGCCAGTATTGGACCTTTCCACATATTTTTTGGAAAAACGTAGCCCCTATTGGCACAAGCACAAGAAGATGCTCATGATTTTCCAAGGTAAGATCTAAAACCCAATGGCGCGCCAGCAGACAACCACTTATCTTACTATGTCAACAGCCAAACCTGGCAGCACAGCCACGCATTGTGAATTGCAGACCCTGCAGGCTTCGCCATAAACTTGGATTTTCTCTGTCTCTCTCTCTCTCTCTCTTGCTCTTTCCCCCGACAGGTCAGCCAGTCTAGGCGCTTCTTGCGGCTGCTAGTGATATCATCCAAGTCAGCCCTGAAATGGTGGGTCAAGGGTGCCTTCGGCACACGTTTCTTGAGTGATTCAATGTCAAAAGCTGCTATCATACTGAACTGGGGAATGGTGATTCCACACTTCACCAGGTTCCACACTTCACCAGATCACTGTGTGGAAATCCTTCCTCCAGAATCTCAACACAATGGCTGGCATTGTTCTTTTTCTGCGAGACAGCTCTACACCACAACAATGCCACGTTGTACTCCCCAAAAAAAGGGGGGTCGGCGGCACCTGGGCGTTAGCCAATTCTATATAATCCGGGCGCCGGCCACGCGCACGTTCCCTTGCCGGAGGCCTTCGGTTGGTAACCGAAGGTTATATACGCTCGCCGCCCCTGCCGCCGACCCTTTTGTTGGACCGCGGGGATACCCCGTGTCGACCCCGTGTCGACCCCGTGTCGACCTCCGCCCGAATCCGAGAGACAGATTTATATGTTATCTAGTTGGTTTTGCGCACGATGTGGAAAACATCGTTTTTTACAGTGTTTCGTGGCCTTCAGCGGACACGACTTTCGTCTAACAGGGCGCCGGTGGTGTCGGTTACGCGCGCCGCGTGGACAAGCTTAATCGACATTTCGTGGGTGTTGGGCACATAAGTTGCCCCCAACATAGGCCCAAGATAGCCAACATATCCCCAACATATGCCCAACATAGCCTCCAAGATGGCTCAACATAGGGCCAACATAGGCCAACATGGGGCCAACATACGCCAACATAGGCCCAACCTAGGCCAACATAGCCTAACATAGGCCGACCTAGGCCCAACATAGGCTCAACTTGGGCCCAAGATGTGCCCAACATAGACCACATGGGCTCAACTTGGCGGCCAAGATGCGCACCAGATAGCTTAACTTTGCTCAATATAGGCCCCACCAAGTCTCAAAGAGAGAAAGAGAGAGAGAGAGAGAGACAGAGAGAGAGAGATAGAGAGAGAGAGACAGAGAGAGAGAGAGAGAGACAGAGAGAGAGAGAGAGACAGAGAGAGAGAGACAGAGAGAGAGAAAGACAGAGAGAGAGACAGAGAGAGAGAGAGAGAGACAGAGAGAGAGAGAGAGACAGAGAGAGACAGAGAGAGAGAGAGAGACAGAGAGACAGAGAGACAGAGAGACAGAGAGGCAGAGAGACAGAGAGAGAGAGAGAGGGGACCCAGCCCTGCACATACCCAAACCCAAATAGGCCGGCGCCCGGCTGTCAGGCGTAAGCCTCATAAATATATATAATTTCGATATGGATGCGTATGTTGATGCATCGTTATACATGACCACAAACCAGAGGACAGAAACTTAAGGAACACTGAACATATAGAAGTTTATCACAGGTATGTATGTTCAAGTCGAATTCGACACTGACTATGCTACCTTTGAAGAAGCCATGTGCTTGAAATACATTGAATGATGTTTTAATGGCAATGAACCCAGAATGAAGAAGATGACCAGAGATGAAACTGTGGAACTCATTGGTAGAACTACTGAAGCATTCAACAAATCTGGAGCATCAATTATATAATGATAGGAATCAGTTGTTCAAAGAATACAATGTATGGGTAACCTGATGTACTCTTATGAGCCAGCAGACTTTCACATCAATTACCGTATCCTCTAGGTACAGTATTATTTCAGAATTGAAAATCAGGTTCAAATTGAAAAAAGGTAAATCAAACATAAGGTGAAAACCCAACATCTAACAGACTCAATCAATACCATTAAAACAATTGAGGCACAGAAGACATCGAACAAAATGTCACAGGCAATGTTCATGTTCAACCAAAAGCTGCTAATCCTTTACAGCATTCCTATTATACACATTGAAGCAAATATTGAAGCCCTTGTCTAGTGTAGAACAACCCCACCGGTTGGGAAGTTCAATTTCTTTCTTATAACAGGGAGGTGCACTTGGAAATAGACAACAACAAGGCTTACACTTACTGTTTAGGGGAAACAATGAAAATACCAATCTTCAACGAGAGCCTACAATTATATATATATATATGTTATACAAAACACCACGTTCTTACTGAGGGTAATTGATGAAACTGCTTTGACAGTTTTTAAATAACACCCCCAATGAATTATGATATGTGTTCAAAAGAATTTGCTGATGACGTTGACATGCTGATAAATAGCCAACAGTTCAGAAAAACAGCACTGACACCAACATTTCAGACAAACAGCTGAGAATACACAGGCAAAAAGTAATAATTGCCAATATTATATAATATAGGGATGTTGGAAAAGGGAACTAACAAAAGCCAAAAGAGTATAGATTCTGAAAGTTTGAATGAGGCCGTGTATATATAATCAAAATGTGGGAGGCAGGATAGAGTGGGTTTTATGATATTGAGGAATTATCGGAAATGATTGATGAATACACAAAGGAATCAAGGGGGCGATAAAATAGTCAGGTGGCATGTTTATACTTATGAGGGTGATGCAGGACAATGTGATGTTGAAGGAGGATATAATCACAGACACTTTTAGATTAAGGATGGCATCTGACAAACAGAATTTGACCAATGGTTTTAGATACAAAGAGGAATTAGTTTCACCAAAGCAATCCAACACATAACTTGAAGACTATCAAAAGCATAGCGTTCCAATTGATGCCTTCATCATCGATGAATCCTGCGTTCTTCCAGGAAGAAATATTTGGTGCTGGTGCTTCTTGGACGCAGCACTTCTGATTGACGATTAACTTGTGGATTAATCAATCTATACAAAGTAATTTTGCAAACACTAATTGTCTGCAACTCACAACAAGCCCCTCCCAAAAAAAGGAGGAAAGAACTGAAAAACAAAAAGGAGCGCTCTGGTTCAAGCTTCGCAACGATTGCCATGCTGAAGATGTGGGATTAAAGTGACAGAAAGTGATTTGAACATTCAAGAATTGTTACTGTTATGTTGTTCCTTGACTTCTAAAACATCTTCAGTGCGCAGTTCCGAAATAACACTCCGTGAACCTCAGCAACTTCGATGGATTGGGATTGGTGCTCCTTGGCTTTTCAAGATCACTCAAACCCCAAGGGCTACGCAAGCACAAAGACTCCAATAGGATCTAGCACCTTGAAGGTCCTTGACAAACCTTTATCTCAAGCACCTTTCAACACAGTCTGCAGTCCTTCAGAACGGAAGGAGAGCACACCCCTACAAACAAGGCAAGCGCGCAAATAGCTTGTAAAAGCATGTCCACAAGAATTCCCAAAGACCCTAAATGGGAAACTGATAAAAAGAACTGATTCATGCCTTCCAAAGCCATCTTCGACATCAAACTTCCCCTCAGCGTTTCAACCGCAGCAGAGCCAGTTTAGCTCAAAACCTGCAGGTCACCTTGGATCTTCTTCTGAGCTATGACATGTCAAACAACAGAAGCTGCTGTAAGGCTCGGACTGGGAGAATGAATTCCCCTGTTGTCACAAAAGAGGACCAGTGTCCAGTGTGTATATATATAGTTCTGCAACGACAAATCTGCACAAACAATACATGTATAACTGTTCTCAAGAAGCAAAATGCACCTGCCAAGCCACCGAAGTCATCTTGGCAATTTCACGGGGCCCGAGGAAGAAGCTCCAAAGAAAAGGTTTTGGAACCCTCGTGAAACAAACATAGTGGACATGGCCATGTGCAGCTGATGACGACGACGACGACGATGATGATGATGATCTAATGTCTCCATGTATATAGAGTGATCAGGTGATGCCAACAAGCCAATACCATGTCCGAAAAGAAATGTTCAGTTTTGTCACTTCGAAGTGCGTGCCTTACCAACATGTGGTTCTCCACTTGTGACGTGTCAAAGTTCAGCTTTCACATGTTGTGTAAAGGTGAAGGATTGAACCAACAAGCTGCAACACAAATCCAGCACAGTTTTTGGGTTGGTGTATCAACTGCACCTTGCGAAATTCGTTGCTAAAGGACCCGCACCACTTTTGGCAACAAGCACAAACTGTCTCTTTGAAACAGTTGTGCTAAGTGCTTTGTTCGAAGCTGGCATTTGCGGAAAGCATTCAGTGGGCGCAACATCTGCATAAGTATATGATACCGGCTGATGGTCGATGTCTCTTCCGCAAGCTGCTGGGTGTAAACCTTTACTGGATGTATTTACACTTCCACATGTGCATAGCCTCCGTTTCGAACCGCCGTTTCTGGCACGTTCCAAGGCTATTGTGGACATGGAGTTTTCTGGCTCATGGTTGAAAAGCAACACAAAACGATGATAAACGATTTACAGTAATGGAGTTTGTAGACCTCGCTGACCAGACTGCGAAATCAAGCCAACCTTCATCCAGAGGGTGCTTCTCCGCGGCCTGAGGGAGCTCTTCCACTCTTCGACTGTGTGGACAAGTGCAGCAGCCAGCCTAGAGTCCTACAGTTCTAGAGAACCATAAGCGACTCTGAGGAGCACACTCTCTCTGATTGCCGGGAGCGAGCTCACCGCCTCAGGCACTAAATCCAGTACTTGGCAACAAAACAACGCTGCCAAACAATGCACAAAGGCTGCTCGAGGGGAGATGATGTGACCGGTCTCCCCTCATCACTTGTGTGTTCAAGGGACAAACAAACACTGTTGGAGCACGCGCTTCTGGCAGTGTGCCACATGGACCCCATGTCCAGTCTCCCACAGTTGGCCTGCTCAATAAGGGCCAAGTCAACCTTCGGTCGATCTGGAAGCGCCTGCTGGCTTGTCCTTCGGAGTAAAGCCGAAAGGCTTTTGGCCAGCCCAAAGTCAAAGCAAAGTCAGTCCTTGTGGGTTCAAATGCCTCATGACGTTGACAAAGAGGGCAGCGTTTTGGAAGGCAAAATCAACATGAACACAGTCAGTGTAGCAACTTGACCTTCCTATTTATATCAGACCTTTCCGTCAAAACATTACAGTTAAAAATACACAGAAAAAGGGGTGTTACAGTTTTTCGGCACCGATTTCTCTCGGCACCAATTTGGGGGAGGGCTGTTTCGATAGCCCATCGGCAGCTTAGTTTTTTCATAAGCACCGTTCAGAAACAAATCATGATTTACCCTGTTGAATCCCCATACATGATTCACGCTTGGCAGTGCCATATCTGGCGCAGTTCTGGAGACCCAACATTTTTCCGGAATAGCAGTACTCAAAGACTCAAAGTTCGTCTTCTGATATTCCTCCAGACTCCAGATAAATAATCAGTTCATACAAGACATGTGCGGAAATTTTCCTTTTGGAAACCTGTCCTTCCACTGCCTGCATAATATGCGTGGTTCTCTACCAAATTGGGAAGTCACGCAATTCAGTGCGCAATGAAGCTTGGATGTGATTCCTTCGGAGTTCTGACTGTGTTACTCAAACACATGTGGGAAGCCATCAAGAATGCCAATGTGTCTCCCGCTTCTTTGGAGGCGTGTTCATATGGGTGTTAATTCCGACTGGACCATCATGGCCAACATGCCCCTGGAACTGTTGCCCAATCAAATTCAAGGAATGGATCGTCAGTTGAGGCTCGCTATGCCTCCAGGATTGCTGAAAGGAGACTTTGAAAGTCGTCCGAACGATCATATAACAGCCGTCATCAAAAGATCTTATCGACGCTACGGAGCGCCTTTTCTCCCTTGAGCCAAAACAAGTGAAGTTCTTAGTCAAGAACTGTACAGTACAAGCGAAGTATATATGGGCTATACATGTCAACGCTCCTCCTCTTGCGAAGAGATTTAACTCTGACTAGGCTATACAAACAAATCGAGTTTTCACTTGTCTCTTCCACTGCACTCAGTGCCGCTGTTCCATGGTAGTGGGGCCTGGCCACGGCCTCATACGAGGATGTCAAGTTGGCCTTTGCTCCTTTTGTCGAAAAAGATGTACTGAAGATCTTCCGCCGCCTTTCGGAGCTGGACTCCAGGGGCATGATTCCCGTAGTAGTGCTCTTGCGCATGGCAGCATCGCCGCCATGGTCTGCATCAACTTGCACTCGCAACTTGGTTGGCATCTGTTGTGAACTGAAGACTTGCGCCACGTCCAGATACCTCTTGAGGTAGCGGATGAGCCTCTGCAGATCTGCTAACTTTGCCTCGGTGGGTGTTACCATTCCACGGGCAAAGTTCTTTATACAGCGTGACCTGTGTCCAGGTGATCTTGCGGCCAGGTATGCTGCTCTCACGGTTGCGGATCTGTACTGCGATGCATCCATCACACTTGTCTAGCAGTGGGCTTCGAGATTCCAACATTTGTTGGTCCGAAGACTTCTTGATGTCAGGTGACTCAACACCATTTGCCTTCTCCAAACCAAATGTCTGGAGAAGGTCTACACGTCGTCGATCTGCCTCGATCACGACTGAAATTCTGCCATTCTGCTCATCGACGCGGATCAACCGATTCCAGGAAATGAGACTCCTGTCTGTCTCCATCTTCATTTACAAGAATACCGAGACATTTCATCTTATAGGCCTCACCTCTAAGTTTGTCCAGGTGAATTGCATCTCCCAAGGCTAGGAAAACATTACCGTGAACCATCACTCGGACATCCCAGTCCTCAAGGAAGAAAACTGACGCGTTTGAGACTCCTCTACGGAGCCCGGCCTTTTGCAAGGTTTCTGTGAATGCGCCTGCCAGATGCTCGGGGCGTCTTGCGTTCCACAAGAAGTCCACAGCTCTGCCCGTCTTTGCTGGCTTCATCTTCTTCACGCAAATCTACGTAGATTTTCCTCTTTGGCGTTCCATAGATCAGAAATCCCACCCTCAGCTTCTGGTTGCGGCAAGACTTTCTCTTGGTTGCCCACAACAAGCATAGCAGTCTCATCGCCTCCAGGGATGGCGCGCTCCTAAAAAGCAAGTTCGCTGGCAATTGTTCCTCGCACTACCAGTCTGCACCTATAGTTCGGGTTTGTTGGGTCACCCTTGTTGGTGTCCAACCACTTTGCCCGTCTCATTTGAGCAAACACCCTCCAAGGTTCGCGCTTGGTCATCCAGCCGGTCTCTTTCCGGACATAACCTGCACCTTGGAGTCCTCTTTTGTCTGTAGCCACCATCTGCCATCTGCACATTGGTCCTTTGACCACGAACACGAACACTCCTTCCAGCTTGTTGTGGCCCGTGGGGCCTCGTGAAGGAACTTGCGTCCTGCGCGACGCTGCTTGGTGTACAGCTCCGCGCTTGTGCGCAAGCTTTGCGAATACAGCTCCATCACGTCTACTGCAGACAGCTCGTCCAGCAATGCAACGCCGGCACCAACTCCTATACTGCACACATGGCCTGTCGCCGCGCGCTCCTCGATCTCCGCCAGTGGGGTCCTCCGGCGCTCTTATTTGGATGGGTTTCTCAACCTCATCAACTTGAAGCTCTCGCTCCACCTTGCGCTGCATTCAGCTGTGCAATGGCGTTGCATTCCTTTGTCTTCTCAAGTGGAAGTTATACACTCCCTGCTTTTGATACACAGGGATCCAACCCCGCTGCCCTGCAGCGCTCGCGTTGAGGATTCTGGACAGCTTTGGACTCTTGCGGAATCAGAGCTCCGCCATTCACATCAAGTACTGCAATCCTTCCAAGGCCTAAGGATTTGGACGCTGAAATCAAAGGCTTGTGAACATCGGCCATTGACCTCCTCCGCGTTCATCGCCCTTCAAAGGTTCCAATGCCCTGGCTGGGCACCAACTCCCCTGACGCAGTCTTGAACACAACTCCACTGCCTTCACTGACAGTGACTCTGTCCTCCCAGCCATGCGGGATGGCCGCTTGCAATGGCATTAGAACAACAGGTCTGACCTTGGTCAACAGCTTCAACAAAGCAAGGTAAGGTTGGGACAAGAGAAGCAGAGTTTGAGGGAGAGTCAAGGAGGTGTAGCAACGCTAGCAGGCTAGCAGGTGCTGTAGGTGAACTAGCTAAGAGTGAGAGCAAAGGGAACAAATCACTTCCGACGATGGGCGCGACCCATCGACAACCTTTTCATTTCCGCTTTTTGGACGAGAGTTCATTGAGGTTTTGGAATGGTGTTTAGAACAAGGAGATCAGATTGAAACCAAAATGCTTGAAGATTAGTTTTTTGGAAGTGGCACAGTTAGTGCAATTGAAGACCTCACTGATAAAGCCGACCAGATCCATCGGGTATTGCTATCCCTCACTTCCGGAGAGACAGAAGACCTCATGATTGGTGCACCCAATGGTTTTGATGCCTACCGACGAGTGCATAGAAGATGGGACCCTTGAACCTCAGGGAGAAAGCGGAACATCCTGCGGGCAGAGCTGGCGCGCTGTCAGGCCCGCCATCGAGCAACTGGAGGAGTTGGCTTGCAGGTACGGAGCTCGGCGCAATGCCGCGCTTTTGCCTTGTCCTTTTCCTTTGACCAGGCTTGCAATCCATTGTCCTATTGAATCAACATCCATTGGTTGAGGTCCCCGGTATGAACTCGAACTCGAAATGGGTTTTGGGATGGATGATATGGAGGTTAGGGATGATGCAATGACTAGTTCCTTGGGGCGCCAACATTTTCAGGGCGCACTTTCGATGTCATCTGACAACACTACCCGAGGTCAAGGAAAGGGCGACGGTAAGCAAGGCTCAAGCAAAGGAGGCTCAAGCAAGGCTCAAATACGGCTCACGACCTCGCGCGTTACAACTGCGGAAAGAAGGGACGTAAAGCTGCCGATTGCTGGAGCAAGAGACGGCAGGATGGAAAAGGTCAGGGCAAAGCGACGGGTTCAGGAAAAGGCGCGGGAAAAGGTAAAGGTTCAGGCAAAAGCAAAGGTAAAGGCAAAGCAGCAGGTAGTACGGAAGAGGCAGAAGATCAGGATGAGGGCATTGAGCCCGCGCCTGAAGCAGATGTCGGAATGCTCATGGCCCAAACGTTAGTGGAGTTGGAATAGTGGACGTTTCGTCCGCCGGTGAATGAATGAAGTTCAACCTGGACATTTGCTTCAACCCCGGATTCCCTTCAACCGCTGCAAGCCTATTTTCAGTGCTGGGACGAGAGCATCCGCCGGCCTCCTACCGGGCCGTGAAAAGGCTGTACTCTACCCCTCGCGGGGGACAGAGCGGACCTCCGACTGCCGCGCGCCAGCTCTGTTGGCGGCCGGCCGAACAATGGCTCACCCAGTCGCCTCCTCCTCCTCCTCCTGTGCTGGAGGCCTGGCAAGGGATTTGGTGTGGGCGCTGGCTGCCTTTTCCTCTTAGATGCAGCGGGTGTCCTTTGAGGCCACGAGGTTTGAAATGCTCGATGGCCTTGGGAATTGAAGCATTGTTTGTTTGATTGCACGCTGGTCGCACGAACTGCACGCCTGTCCACTGGCTCCTTTGCCCCCTTCTCCAAGCTCTTTCCAAAGTTGGCGGATTGCTGCAAGTGCAATCGTGCCTTTCAATCTCCCCTCTTCTCCGCAAAGTTGGTCAGCAGTCAACTTCCTCACTTGAAATGGAGATTCAAGTCGCCGGTTGGCGATCACCTGCTCTTTGGCCCTTTCGCTGACAAGGTCTTTGATCCTCTGGTTCAACTTGAGGGCACGACCCCAAACTTCGCGACCCCGTGTCTCGTCGCGGCCCACTTGCTGCTGGACTGCCCTGATTGCAGTCTGCCTGCCAGCTGAGCGAAGCCGCAATGGGCCTGGAACGCAACCTCCTCCTCCCTCCTCCTCTCTTTTTGGCCCTTGTCCCTCACGCTTTGCCCTTCGAGCTTGATGTCTCTTCTTTTGTTCCTCACGTTCTTCACGAATCTCGCTTGTCGGTCGGGAGCTACCAAATTCTTTGATCTTGTCCTTAAAGCTCTTCCAAGACCTTTCCACCCTGCTTGCTCTGCTGGCGGATGTAGCCCTTCAAGGACCTGTATTGCCTTGAAACCCTGCTCCTCAGCCTGAAGCCCGACGAGCCCCTTCCGCTGGACTCTCCTTCAAATCGATGGGTCTTCTTCGGCTTGGCGGATGTACGCCACGGTGCAGTGGCGATCGCACGTTCCGCTCTTCCGTGGAGCCTTGGGGACTTTAGCTCCCAACTGTGCTTTCGTCCGTTTGAGTCAACGTACTCGTCACCCAACACGGAGATCAAGGTCACTGGGTTCCTTTTCACTCTCTTGCCCTTATTCTTTGGGCTCTTCGTCTAGTCTTGGTTCCTCTACTTCGTACTTTTCTTCGTCGGGTTCTGTTCCAGGCAATTGTTCAGCCTTTCGGGCAAAGGTTCCTCTCTCTTCTTTTCTTCTTTCTTCTCCTCCTCTTCCTTATTCACCGGCTCGGTTGCCGGCGCGGCCGGAACGGCCGCTTCCGACGCCAGCCCGTCTTCCTCTTTCCACTCCTCCTCCGAGGAGTCTGCGGCTTTACTGCGCCGCTCTTCCTTCATTCGCAACGCGTGGTCTCTTTCACTCTCACCGGGCCTTCGCGCTACCATCAAAAGATCTTATCGACGCTACGGAGCGCCTTTTCTCCCTTGAGCCAAAACAAGAGAAGCCCTTAGTCAAGAAATGTACAAACGGAGTATATATGGATACATGTCAACACGTCATGAAGTGTTATATATTTCGAGTGTATATTTGCACATGTGACATGTGAGATCATGTGAGAACTTGCTTGGGGAGGTCACACCTAAAGAGACGTCAGGGGAAGGGCCTCTCATTGCTCAGCTTTGATTGACACTGAGAGGTGGCCAGCCCCAGCAAGTGAGGAGCTAGAAGCACCCTCGCAAGAATCCACTCACTGCAAGCTCTGAGAGCAATGCCCTTCCAGATTGAGAGCTGTTCAGCGCACGTGGAGATGCTTCCTGACGATGCAAAAGGGTCTATTGCACAATTTCACTCCCATTTTAACAAATTCAAGCACAATAAGTTCATGTTCCATATCATATACGGGCTTCATTGTGAAATAAGACAAGGTATCTGCCTTCTTTCTGGGAGTGTCATGAGTGTCCAGGACAGACGACCCCAAAGAGAGGAGCACCTGGGCAGAACAGAACATGACAGCAAGGAGCTATTGCTCCAGTTGGAGATCAGCTACTTTTGCAACACAAAGGGAGGAATGCTTTGCCAATTTCCGACTTCTATCGGCATGACTCTGTGAACGTGCACAGCTAACTTGCCAACTGAGCTGGATTCCGAACACGCCTGAGATCCCGGCACTTGACCCCGCATTGCTCATTCTGAATGCAGAACCCTGGCAAGGATGATTCCAATTATATTTCTACAATCTGCAAAGAAAAGACCTGTTCGTGCCTGTGATCGTGGATGAACGGTGTAGTAGGCATCCGTCGGTCGCATTTTCACCCACTTTGGGGCCAACAAAAAGAACATCCATGTGTGTTCACCAGGCTCGGCCTTAGCCCCAAAAAATACTGCTGGCTCTTCCAAACATGCAACTAAACCAGAATGACTGAAAGGAACTAAGAAACCTCAAAGGAAAAAATACGGCATGAAATAGCACAAGAACAGGACAACTGGACAACTAAAGGCAGGAACCCCATCTCTGTCCGGCAACTCATCGCTGAAATCCCGCTGCATCCCCCAGAGTTGACTAACCTGCAAAGGTTCCAAATCAAAAGCTGCCACGAACACTGCGAAATGCAATTTAACTTGACAGGTGCTTTAAACCTCGTTTGCCAGCCTTCCGGAGTCCGAGAGTGGCAAGCAAATCGACATCCTTGGAAAGCACGCCCATGTACCTAGTAGCAGACTTTGGCAGTTGGAAGCAACCTGCCCGCTTTGGTAGGGCACGCAACTACACCTCGCTCCGAGTCCACAGTATGCATATGGAAAGCGATTTGGATCAAGTCCTCAGTATCTGCAAGCCAACCGCTTTGAGTAGTGAATAGGAGAACTCTTGTTCAAGGCACAAGGACAAAAGATGCAGCAGTCGTATGTGCCTGGTCAGTCGCACTGACAACCACCGTGGAACCCTCCCAATCTTGGTCAACCTTTTTCTGCAACCGCTGCACCTTGGTGGCCAAATTGATTCACGTCTTTGTCTAGCCCGACCTAGCTGCAACTCACTCACCTCAATGAATCCAAAGATTGAATCATTGGGGCGCAAACCATCGTTGGAAGTGTCATGCGGCTCCCCCTGGAGTTGTCCTCCAGGCCCTTACCTGGACATCATTTCATCTTTGTGATTGGCATTCCGACATCATCCTAATTTGACATTAAGCCTTTTCGACCATATGCAGACTTCTGCCTGCTTGTATGCCCTGGCCTGTTAGCTAGTCGCTTCTCTTACTGCTTAGCTTGCTGCTCCAATTCTCACGTTCAACCAATGCTTCACTTTCCTTGCATTTACGCTCTGCCGCTCAGCGTGTCAGGGTTGCCTCTGCCAGCTAGAAAGGAGCTTTCGGAGGTCATCTGCGCTTTGTCCTGTCACAATCTGTCCAATGTGCAAAGGCCTTGCTAGGTGGTTTAGACGCCAACCCTCTGCAGTATCAAACACCCTCGTCAGCAGAGCCAGTAGTGAACTTTCACTGCGAAAGCTCCTTTTCCCCAGCACGCACATCCATCACATGCCAGGTAAGTGTTGAGCTAGCTGAGGGGTGGGGTGAAGTCAAGCTGTGTTGAGTTTGAAGCCGGCCTAGATCCAAGCAAGCAAACAGGTGAGGAAGCTCAGCAAAGAGTTCGTTCGCGTCTTACCTTTATATATATATATATATATGGTGAGGTTGCTCAGCGGTAAGGTCGCTACATCGTCACCTCCCTGTCTGACACACCATTAGAGGTAAGCTAGTCAGGCTAAGCTACCTTTGCAAAGATTAAGCTGGCCAAACCATTATTTTGTCAAGTGTTGAGCTTGCTATATAAGGGGTGATTAGCTGTTTGAAACAGCTAAGAGCTGGCTGAGGTGCTGAGCCAAGCTATTAATTAAGTAACAGCTTAGCTAAGCGCTGATCTGCCAAAATGGTCAGCTTCCAAAGTGTTAAGTTCGTTCAGTGATGACTTGCTGAGACGTACCAAAATACAAAATTTTGAGGAAACCAAGTGGTGAGTTGGCTAGGCAGTGAGCTAGCTAGTGCATGTAGCCTAGCCTTAACACATTGAGTACTGCTACATATTGGTGAATGCACTTCCTCAAAAGAAATAAAATTGCGCCAGTCACCAAAAACAACAGTCCTGCGCCAGCTCAGCTAGATTGAGTTAGGTGCGTGGCAGCTAAGTGCGCAAAGTAGCTGAGTGGTAGGCTAGCAAGACAAGCACTGATAGACAGAGTGGTGCAGGAGATTCGAAGCACCCGAATGCACACAGACCCTGCAAATGCGCACTTTGCAAAAACCCAAACACAGTGCACTCTCACTTTGCAAAACACGGGCGCAGCGCAACACCGGCAAAAGACTTGAAAGCAAGCAATTGGTAGGCGGCAGGCGCAGTATCCAGAGCCTCCAGAAGGGGCTCCGGCGCGCGTTGTCGCCGCTGGTGCCGCTGGCTGTCCTCGTGGCAGGCGCAGTACCCAGAGCGCGTTGTCGCCTCCAGAAGGGGCTGCGGCGCGCGTTGTCGCCGCTGGTGCCGCTTGCTGTCTTCCTCGTGGCAGGCGCAGTACCCAGAGCCTCCAGAAGGGGCTGCGGCGCGCGTTGTCGCCGCTGGTGGCGCTGGCTGTCCTCGTGGCAGGCGCAGTACCCAGAGCCTCCAGAAGGGGCTGCGGCGCGCGTTGTCGCCGCTAGTGCCGCTGGCTGTCCTTGTGGCAGGCGCAGTACCCAGAGCCTCCAGAAGCGGCTGTGGCGCGCGTTGTCGCCGCTGGCGCCGCTGGCTGTCTTCCGCGTGGCAGGCGCAGTATCCAGAGCCTCCAGAAGGGGCTGTGGCGCGCGTTGTCGCCGCTGGTGCCGCTGGCTGCCTTCCGCGTGGCAGGCGCAGTATCCAGAGCCTCCAGAAGGGGCTGCCATTGTGATTGTGCGCTACTGCCATTGTGATTTGCGCAGCAAGGGTTCTCACTGGTTCGGAATCGCATTGTAATGGCTGCGGCACGGATGTTTGCAACATGTCTCTGTGCGCTACTGCCATTGCGATTTCCACAGCAAGGGTTCTCACTGGTTCGGAATCGCATTGTAATGGCTGCGGCACGGAAGTTGGCAGAGTGTGTTTGCGCGCTACTGCCATTGTGATTTGCACAGCCAGGGCAATCAACGCCTGCGAATCGCATTGTAAATGCTGCGGCGAGGGTGTTGGTGAAGCCTGTCTCTGCGCTACTGCCATTGTGATTTGCAGTTCTCTAGTTTAGCCTGCACGACCGTTCTGAATCTTGTTTTGAAAGTTCTCTGGCCATGGTTGTCATCACAAAAACTCACGTGGTTGCAGCAGACATGTTTTGATTCACTTACTTACATGTTTTCATGACATGTTTCTTTTCAACATCTGTGAAACGCCGATTGCATTTGCGGATCTGATGCGGATCTGGCCAACATCTGTGAAGGTCTCACGCGGATCTGATCGCAAAATCCAGAGCCTCCAAACTTCTCTCTCCGCCTCCTTCTCTCTCCCTCTCTCTCCCTCTCTCTCTCTCTCTCTCTCTCTCTCTCTCTCTCTCTCTCTCGTCCCTCTCGTCCTTGTTCATCACATCATCAGACACTTTATCACACACCCACACACTCATGGATATGCATACTGACTTGACGGCGGTGCCACACGCCGGCCTAGGGTTCCAATTCCTAAGAGTACCGGTAGGGAACCAGCGAATCCTGGGGGTCTTCAAACGGAGAAGTGGCCCAAAAAGGAAGAAACCGAACGACGAACGAACAGGCTGACGACGATCCGCTCACATCTGCAGCGCAAAGAAAAAGCAACAAAACATCTAAGCATCGAGGTTCTTGGCTTACGATTGTCCTGAGGCAAGAAAAGTCAGTTTGCAGCAGCTTGCAAGAGCTGATTGAACTTTGGTCGAACCAGCTCCCTTTTAGATACGGAGTGAACTCTTGGACCACAAATGTTTGCTTGCAGGTGAACCGTTTTCCCACCGGGCGTTCGATCCAAATCCCAGATTCAATGGAATCGTCGCAAGATTTTTCTTCCGGTGTTCATGTACGACACTGGATGCACAACCCGCTGGCTAGAGTTCAGGATCGTGGCCACCGTCCTTCACCGAGGTGAACTGCCCTCTTGCGGGCGTTACCAAGGAATTTTGCACACAGGCGGAGGCCGCTTTTTGACAGATGATCACACGGTTCCTGTCGCGTGTCCCCACCTGCCAGTGATGGAGACAGATGCTTACATGTTTTGGCTAGTTGCTAAATCTTCATTGACCTCAGCATTCGGCAAGATAGTCGAACCTCGGAACCCCTTTGTTCCGATTCGTTCATCATGATGATGCCACTTTGCCGCCCGGGCAGCAGCTCACGAAGCTGCCGATCGTTCGTTCGATTGAAAGCCTAACACGGGCTGAGATCACTCAGCCGGCCGAGAATTAAAATGAATAATGGGGGGCGCAATTCAGTGACCTCCGCTTTTGAGCGACATGATGACCGCGCCCTAGCGATAAAGACCAACATCAAGTAAGTTGGTCTATGAACTTGTGAGCCTGCAGCTGTATGTCAGAGAACATTAGAGAGCATTTGAGCGGACCATCCATGAGATATCCAGGCTCGAAACACGTAACCCGTGCAACATGGAGCCATACGACGACGCGATGTCTGCTGCCTGCGCTGCTTTGCAACGGATGATTGAGAGCAGTTTGGACACGCCGATCGAGGATCAGCCAACACTCGACCGGCTTTTGGCAGCGCACCAGTATCACTTCGGTGATATTTCAGATTGGCCAAATGACATCTGTGAAATACTTCCAGGGGAGATGATGTCTTTGGAACCGCCTGAGATCTACTTTCTCGGGAGCTTGGCTGCCTGTCGCCATCTCCGGACTCACCAGGAAACTGTCCACTTTCCTATCGCAAGGTATCGGTTGTCTTGAGCTTTTGTCCGCGGGAGAATCCCAGAACATACTTGGATGACACCAATACTTTTTGTCAAGAAGTGGGAAATGCCTGGTTGTCATCGTGGATGGACATGTGCTGCGCTCTTCTGAAGCACTTGAAGGCAACGACTCAGCGAGAAGAACGAGGCATCCTCTTTCATTGCTTCGGCGGAGTCAACCGCAGCTCAGCGGCATTGTGCGCATGGTTGATCTTTCGTCGTCGGCTCTCTGCGGAAGCGGCTGTACAGAGCTTGTTGACGGCCCGTCCCACGCTTCACCCCTGGAAGCATCGACCGCATGTCTTCTGGGCATTGCGTACTTGGGAGAAGAACCTAAATTACTTTCTAAGACCTCGCATTTTTGCTGCAGTTCAAGAACTGTGAGCTAGCACGCCGGCGAGTCGACGTGACGAGCTGGACAGACTGTGGCGATACACTGCTGCGAAAAGAGTCGAAAACAACGCTGCCTTGCGTTGCATAACGACTGACGGAGTTCGTTTCTCAAAAGAATTGGCACTGACCAAGTTCGTTTCTGACGTCGACACTTCTGATGTTTTGTGCTAGCCTCCGCCTTCAGTGTTGCAAATATATACTCACTGTTCGTGCGAGTTGACCGGAGCTCAGGTCCTGCCTGGAGCTCACTCTACATCTCTGCGTGAGAGAAAAAAAGCGTGTCTCGCCTCTTCTTGCTTTACATCCTGCTAACACTGCCCGCCGTGGTCGGGATAAGACAACTTGATAGCTTTGATGGTCGTTTCGAGTGTGTTACGTTTTGAAGGTCGCATGCGGATCTGATGGCAAAATCCAGAGCCTCCAAACATCTCTCTCCGCCTCCTTCTCTGTCTCTCTCTCTCTCTCTCTCTCTCTCTCGTCCCTCTCGTCCCTCTCATCCTTGTTCATCACATCATCAGACACTTTATCACACACCCACACACACACACGCACGCCATCTTACCACACACACACACACACCTCCTCCCTCCCCTCATTCACATCCTCGTCCATCACATCATCACTTATACTGCACGTCTGAGCATAACCGCCTCATATACCTTCTCTCCTCACACTTCGCTCTTGACTTTTCATCTCACTACTCCGTCTCCCATGTGATGTTCATATACATTTGAAATTTGTAAAACTTATCATGTGGGGTTATCCGGCCCTTTTATTTGCTTTTGCTTTTTCATTTGCTGTTTTTGCTATTCGGATTTGGTGTTTTTGCTTTTGCTTTTTCATTTGCTTTTTTGCTGTTTTTTGGAGTTGCTTTTTTATTGTGTTTTTTCAATTGCTTCTTTTGCTTTTTGGATTTGTGTTGTTTGTGTTTGCTTTTTCTTTTGCGTTTTTGGCCTTTTAATTTTGCTCTGTTTTGCTTTTGCTTTTCGCGGTTGCTTTTTGTCGCTTTTTTTGCTTCTATATTTTTTGGCGAAACCATCAGAGATAGCTCAAGTGGTTTTCTTAACTGTAGCCTTCTTTCAATTGGGTCATCTTTTCGAGGACGCCTAGCTTCTGAAGTCTCTGCTCTTCAACCTCATCGGCCAAGCGCTCAACCCATAGAGGTGGGTCTGGAGGTACTCGATCAAGAGGTGCATCCGCGCTGTGGGATTGCATTGGAGTCTGTCACTTCATCCTCACCTTCTTCCCACATGGCCAAGTCCTCCTCCTCAATGACCTGGCCCATAGCGTCGCTGAGATTATCCTCTCTTGCATCGGATCATCCTCGGATCGTGCCCTCTTTGGTTCTGAGCTCAAAAGTTCAAGCGCGCGTAGTGTCTTGACTGGTGTTTGCTTCAACTTCTTGGCTTCTGATTCCACAACTCCTTCTGATTCTGGTTGATTCGACTTCTGACTCCCATGTCTTGGCGTTGGTTCTTGCTCTCATCAATCTCTGACCTCACAGGAAAAATCTCTGCGAGCGTCTTCTCATCGATCTCCTCCTCCAAAGGCATCCTTTAGTCTACATCCTTGTGGCCATACGTTCTGATCTTTCGACCTTGCGCATCTTGAAGGAATGGCGTCATCCCACTCACTTTCTTTCCCTTCGTCACCATCGACCCTGGAAAAAGCGATGCATCTGCACCAGAGTTGACGACGATTGTCACTTCTGTCAACTCCGGCTGCTCTCATGCGTCCACCTTGTCATCATCCATGTCCTCAAGAAGGACATGGACTGAGAGCACTTTGTCCTCTTGGTCCACCTCCTCGTCATCTGTGAAGACGTCGACGATTTCCACTTTTGACCCACCTCGCTTCTCCATGCTCTTCACTATGCGAATTGTGCCTGAGGTCTCAGAACTCTGCCTCAAGTCGAAGAAAACTGGTTGCGAAACACGTCACGCTGTCGTCTTTGACGAATGGACAACGTTGTCGCCGATGATGGAGGCACTGTAGACTGGGTGGTGGAGGCTGGAATCTGCTGTGTTGGTAGGCCCTCAACTTGTCGCGCTCGCCAGCAGTCCTTTGAGTGATGGCCTGGCCACCCACAAGCCCAACACACCTCAACTGAAGTCTTCCCTTTTCCTCCCTTCTGATCTTTTCCACCCTTGTCTTTCTGGTCACCCTTGGTGTTCGTTGCTTTGCCCCCTTTCCCTTTGCCCTTCCCTTTGTCTTCTTTGCCCTTGCCCTTGCCTTTTCCCTTCTGGTCTTTTCCTTTGCCGCCTTTCTGGAGCCCGTCAATCTCCATATAGGCGCCAACCCATTGGGATCTGTCTGAGGTACAGGGCTCGTGCTCGAAAAACAACTCAAAGCTGCGCTCTCATTCCAACAGGGATTGGCTGCGTCATAGGCCGGCACGGTCTCACGGATCTTGTTGTAGCTGCTGCCTTCATTCAAAGTCAGGTTGAGATGGGTGGGTCTTCAACTGACCACTGGTCACCTTCAGAAGCACTGCTGACTTCATAGGTGCCAACTTTCCTCCTAGCTTCTCACGCTGTGCAAAGTGCTCGTCCAACTTCAAGATCTGGGGAAGGATCGAAAGCTTCATATTGAAGTTGGGATATGCTCATCGCGCGGTTCCGGGCCTTTGGCTGGCAGTTCACGAGGAGTGGTCGAAGAGCTTCATGCCCGTTGTAGTTGCCCACATTCTTGATGAGGCCAACAAGCCTGCCCTGCACCAAGCTTCCCAACAGGCTATACAAGAACCGTCCACGTTCCTGTTCTTTGGTGCCCATGAAGGTCCAATCCACCTCAGTGTCCATGTGCTCTTCCAACCTCGTCAGCTCTTCTTGAAAGCTGCCTTCAACCACCACCAGGTATTGCCTCAATCTCCTGTTCTCGGTCTGCTGGATGAAAACCCCAGGTCGTGGAATCAGCTTCGCTAGGTCCTTCTTCAAAGTACCTGAGTAAAAACTCACCAACTCCGCTCAGTCAAGTGAACCTCGTTGGGCTTTGGAATGTAGGGCCACCAAGGTCTCCACAAGAATGAGGTCAAAGGCTGCAAGTAAGCAAAGATCAGCTTCGAGGAGCTCACAGGCTATGAGGCGAGCAACCTGCAACACCAGTTTATGAAAGCTCGGCACGGGCACTCGCAACACGTTGGGCCCATGGTGGAGGTGGGGTCCTGCCTCCCAAAGGTCCGCCAGAGCTCCAGCCAGACACGTGTGAATGGCCTTCACAGCTCGTCTGCGATTTGTGCGTGTCATCCTTGTGCACACAACAGCTCAAGTTTCACAATATACAGTTCTTTCATAGGGTTGCAGAGGCCTTGCTGTCACATCAGTTTGGGGTGTGCTGCTTACGGGCCAAGGGCGTTTCCTCTGGTTTCAATTAGTCCAATGACTTTCTAGGCCCAGCGCTTGAGGTGTGCAAAGCATCTCTCTGTAGGGTTTGAGAAGCAACGTTAGACACCAGACTTTCGGTCAACCCAACCTGTTTCGGATTCACCTAGTGTCAAGAAACCGTAATGTGATATAAGGAATGTACCAAGATAGCACGGAAAGAATATATGACAAGCCCAGTGGGGAGCTGGCAAAGCGTCCGTGCTTAGTGCCTGCACCATCCACGCAGACTGCTGCGATTTGAGGAACTTCTCCTGAGACCTTACAGCAGAAAAAGTGTCTGGTCCAGATGCTTGCCAACTTGTCCTTGTTTTCGCCGAAGTCCGAGACTTGTTCAACGAAGTTCTCGACCCAACTGCAACAGACCGTAGAAAGAGCTTTGTCGCCTCATGAGACTTGTCATGCGTTTTTGCCTTTGTCGCCCACTAAAGTCAAACGCGAAAGCCACCAGCCTCCAATTCTGCATCTTTGTCACCCCCAAGGTATGGATATTGCCTTTCAATGACACCAATTCCAACTCCAGAATTCCCAGTATGTTCACAAAGCCGGGAAAGTTTCAGGACGAGATACTCTCTGTCGGCCGTCACACCGTGGAGCATTGGCTCATGTTTGAGCCGACGCTCCTCGGAGCTTCTCTGAAAAGATGAAGAGGAAGAAGCTTGTTTCAGAAAAATTGAACAAATGACAGTGACAGGTCCTGACGATATATATGTATATAATATATAGATATATATACAGTATATAGAAATTGAAAATGAAGACACAAATAAGAACTGTTCAAAGAGGTTGCTAAAAGATCTGCTACATCTTTACAGAAGCAACTGCTGCCTAGCCTGCGAGCTGTAGCGCCAGTCATGGTTCGCTATCTTCATTCTCTTTTCCGCGTCGGCTTGTCTGTCGCAAAGCAAGAATGTCAGAGTAAAGTCAAATGAGTCAAGTGGACAAATATCCAGCCAGCGCCTGCCCAGCAATCCTCTTCTGTCCTACAAGCAATTCTCACACAAAGCGACCCGATTTCGGATCATGCCGGCTATCACTCGGGCCGAATTGAGAGAGGGCCTGTCAGGCGGGGTGAGGAGCAAACCAAACAGCACCCATCATGCGCTGATGGCTTACTGTTTTTGTGTCAAAATTGCTTAGGGGATCAAAGCTACACACACCAAAGCTAGCTAGCTTAGCTGCTGGATGTTGCTGGCGGTTCGATAGGTTGCTCCTTGTTTTGTTTCGTGCTTCGCAGTTTGCACATGTTTCAGGCGTTCGGCACAGAGGTCGTGTATAGATATTATGCATCAGCTCTCATCACTTCATTGACATCATCCCATCACTTTTGGATGTGGCTTGATGACTCAAGTTGATACCGCATGCATGGGGCAGGGGTTGAAATGGGGGGTAAGGGTGTTTTGGCATTTGCATTCCTTGCAATTGCTGTGAACACCAGGTTGCTTTGTATATCAAGTTGCTTCGGCCCGTGTTGACCGGCAGCTTGAGGATGCTGGGCAAACCCCTTAGTCAAAAGAACATGGCTTGCCTGTTGGAAACCTAGTAAAGCACAACCTCTAAGATACAACTGCATCAAATGAGATCATTGCTGTTCTTGGAAATTTGGAAATTGCTGTGTGGCGGTCCGGTTCAGTTTTTGGGGCCATCTCGGTTGTGGGCATTGTCGGCAAAGGGAGAGTCAAGGGTCCAATACAAATCGGGTGCAGCCAGACACAGGGGAAGGCCAGCAAAGAGTAAACTGGCAGAAGCCACTTTGAGTCATGGACACAAAAGAGCTTGTTTTGGTATTGTGTGCCGATATTGTTCCACTCAAACGTTCATGATCCCGCACTGACAATGAGTGTGATCTGCCCTCGAAAGAAACAGGATACTGTCAATGCATCGGGATTGACTTCAGTCTTTACAGAAACACGCAAGCTTGATACTCAAAGGTCCTTGTATTCTTCTGGCATGTACTCAAACTCCTGACACGCTCGATGCACCTTGTGCTTCCAACACATTGAAAGCTTGCTTCAGTTATTTATATATTTGGGTCGAACTGATGGAAAGATTTTGAGAACCCTTACTGTAGCTTCAAATACAACATACAGTAGATGGTTTGAAGCCAATCGGTTTGTCCTTTCAGTCTACCCATAGTATATGATTGAACCAGCATCTGTCAAATTCCTTCCTGCACCCCTTCTAAGCAGAGTGAATGTCCTTGTCTCGAAGCCCGAATTCAGCCACCAGAGTTTTTGGATCATGCAAGAGTTCAAGTCCAAAGGTTGGAGGTCCTGGTAGTAGCCTCCGCCCCAGAGCTGAGTCATCTTCGACCTTGCAAACAGCTAAAGCCAAATTGACACCTTTTTCCTGAAATGCACTGCTCGATGTAGCACAAAGACTTTGCAAGCGACACCTTGCAAAGGTATTCTTCCAAGTGTCCATGCAATGAAGAGCCAAAGCAAAGCCAAGCTAGTTCCAGTGATATGCATGAGTATCTGAAGCTAGGAGGTCCTGTGAAATACTTTGTCCTATCCTTTCCACTCACACTCGTCACATTTCTGCGCTGAGAAAACCGACCAGGTCTGCGGGACAGGCTCGGCTAACCGGTTCCTCTCCATGCGCTGCCTTCGCAAGAGATGGATCGCATCAGGCCTCGAAAGAAACAGAAACCATGAAAAATATGTTGTGTCTTATGTTTTTGGCAATAGGGGTGGGTAGGTAGAAGAGGGGCAGGAGGTAGGTTAGCTAGAGGTAGCTAGCTAGTAGAAGCTAGGTAGCTAGTACCTTACTAGTACGCTACTAGCATGGACGCAGGATAATTCATGCTTCTTCAAGGAACTCCTCCGCCGCCTTTAAGCTTCCTTGAAGAAGCGCTTGCACTATCCATTTGGTTCCTAGACTTTTAGGGATACTTATCAGTTCCCCCTACTACTCAATTAAGCAATTCCTCACAAGACTCAAAGCAGCTTCAAAAGGAGAGAGGCTTCAAGCGCAGAACCAGCAGGCTGCATATTTGATAGGTCAAGCTACAACCATAAGTGCCCTACCCTAGCTCCACTGGCAAGGATTCCTTCATCCAAGTGTAGTTGCCAGTACCTAAGTCAACTCCCAAATTGTTCCTTTTTGTGACTTGTCTCAACTGATTGACTGGTGCCGTTTACCTGCCCACTTTTCTGTCTATATATTGGTGCGGTTCTTTCATCCACCGGCAAATGAATATGTTGATCTAAACTCCAACACATGCACGGGTAAAAATCCAATGGCCCAACACACCCTCAACGAAAGGTTCAAATCTATATACAGTAAGGCAAGTTATCGCCTACAAACCTGGAAAATGTCTGGAATTCTGCTAACTGCTAACACACCCCCTATCTCAGGTACACACTGAAGGATTGCCTGATGATGTCCTGCTCGTGATTGGAGTACTCCGAAGCCTGAGAATGCACAAGAATCACAAGAATCATGTCAATCTGTCCCAATCCGTTGGTGCCCAACGCCATTGGAGTGCGTAGTTTGCGCATAATGAGGTTGTCGCCTGTAACTAAACATGTCCACAAACATAAAATCCCAAATGGAAACGTGGCCTGGGCCTTTCGGAATCACCTCCGAACATCCTGACAAGAAGGAAAACATCTGGTCAATGATGGTCGTCCACTGTAAGCATACATAATTTTTGAAAAACATTTGAAATGTTACTATGATTCATGATGTTTTCAAAACCACCTGCCTGGGCAAAAACTGAGTGCAAACACATCATGGACCTATGAGTGAGCCAGCCAGTTATGCTGCGACACAGACGCCTGCTAATCCTCAGCAAACACAGAGCTTCCATTTGGAGTGACAATGGCTTGCAGTTTCAAATGTTCCTTCATCAAGTATGTGTTGTTAATGATGCGTCAAGCATGAGATGGGCACGCCTACCCCAGCTACGTGAGGCGCTGTTGTGCAAAGGTTACATTTTGCGAGTCTGCTTCCTCAAAAAAATATCTCGAAAACGCGCCCCTTTTCTAGGCTGTATTTGAGCCACTGTTCAAGTCTGTACACTTCTCATTTAAGTGTGTGTCATTGTGTACGCAGGGGCCATGCTATCAATTGACACCCCGCCTTAGAGATCGACAGTCTTTAAATGATCTCTATCACAGTCCGTCATGTGAAACTTTGGCTGGCCACTCAACTCAGTGTTGCTGCTGCGTGTCTCGCGCATTGATTGCACTTCTCTTTGCCAGCTTGTCAAACATTCTGAATTCATTCTTCTGGGTCGACATTCTCTTTGTCGTCTTGTTCTTCATGTTCTTCATGCTCTTCGGTGCCATCAGCCTCATCATCTGCTTCTGCACCGGTCTCACGGAAGTATTCTTCCTCTTCATCAACATCCATTGGATCGTAGTGCCACTCGATCCATGCATCGGGATCTTCACTTTCTTCTATTGGGCCTCTGACTCCAATCCTCTGTTCTTCTGTCTCATCATTTGCCTCCTCTTCTGCTTCTTCTTCCTCATTGTCTGTGTCATTGGTTCCTCCTGGACTTGTTTCGTTGTCCGTGAAGAAATCCAGACTTGACCCGTTCTCCATCCATTCGTTGAATGTAATGGTCGCTGAGTGGTAGGCCAATGGATCTTGCCTGCCACACAACAAGCGCAAATACTGCAAATAGCGAAGTGAGTTTCTTGCAGCTTGTTGTTCGACGACCGAGTCATCAGTTGCAGCTTCTTCTTCCCTATCCTCGGCACCCTCATTAACGGGCTTGGGTGAGTCACAGCTGCTGATTTCGTGCACCGGTGTCTCATCCTCACCGACTGAGGAGGTGACCGTACCAGCCGACGGTGCTGCGAGCTCAGATGCCTGGGTGGGAGAGCCTTCTTCTTCTTCTTGGCTGCTGCCCGAGACTGGTTGGTCATGAAAGTTTTGTATGCTGTGCGTGCTGTCAGGCGATGGAAGAAGACTTGGCTGACCACCGGAACTGAGCAGGTCGAGGTCATCAGAGGCCAAGCTGCCAGCAGGCTCGCCAGTGGCCGAGGGCTGCGTATCCGCCGAAGCAGCGGCTGCTGGAGCGTCCTTCTTGTAGCATCCCTGGTGCCGGGGGCAGCAGCAGGGAGGAGTCCTCTCGGTCTAGTATCGGTTCACTCCGCCGTGCATCATAAAAGTAGATTTTATGCAGGGCTTCAAATTGGTACAGCCTTGCCTTGTTGGCTACATCACATTTGCCAGGCGGGTAGCGGACAGTGCTACCGACCGTGAAACGTGAGCCACCTGCTTTGCTGACCGTATGAAGCAGACGCCAAGCTCCGGGATGACTGGTGTCTGAGACGATGAGCCAATCAGGGTTGGCAAGTCCATGTGCTGCATAGCCAAACAAAAGCCCGCTGCCATGGAGTGGGTGGGTATGATTCAGGAACTGGTTTTGTTCGCCTTGCGATAGGCAACCTCGCTTTGTCAGAACCAGCCTGAGGCGTCTCACCTTCCCTTCATAATGTTCAGCAAGGCACAGGGGGGCTGGCCCCTCCCACAGGGGGTGTGGCTCGGTGGCCTTGAGAAAGGCGGCAGTCTCAGCTTGAACATCTAACTCGCCAATTTCAAAGGACCCCGCAACTTGGGCAGCGCCAGGCACAGTGTCGCTAGTGTGCAGGGCGCAGGCACCATGCAGAAGTGCGGCAATCACTTGCGCGGCACCCTCAAGACCATGCATGTTGAGCGGGCACGCTAGCGCCGTTAGGTCCGTGGCTCTGCTAAGGGCAACATTGGCTCTGGTGTAACATTCTTTGTCGAAGTCAGACCTGTTGGAGTGGCCACTGAGAAAGCTGGATTGGCCATGAAGGACAATACAATGCTTTGCCGTGGCTCCTGCAACCTTGACCGCTGTCTCGACGTTGGTATTGCGGCGGGACTGGTGACAGAAGCTACGAAGGCTGTTGGCACTTTCCTTTCTAGTGGTCAGAACTAGAATGTTGTCTGGTTCCTCGGCCTGGACTGGTAGCCATGATTCAATCTGGAGGTAAACCGCCCTCGTGGATTCTGGCGGGGGATCGGCCCGGGTTGCTTTGCGAGGGTCATGATGGATCCATTGCACAAACCTCAGCCCAGTGGGCTTCTGCTCGTTAAGCCGTATGGAGCCTGTTCCTATTTGCCACCGCCCATTTTTGCAGCTACAGAGCATTGGATATTGGATGCCTATGAGGGGTTCGTAGACCTCCTGCGCAACCCGCGCGCTAGTCGGAAGCATCACACTCCACTGATGGATTCTGCACTCCTCCTTTACGATCAATAGTTTTGAAGTTATCTCGCCAAGTTTGGAGTATGCTGAAACATGGCTGTGCAACAGTGCAGTCCTCACTCCAACTGTGCAAGAGCGTATCAAGTCCATGCCAGGTGTTGTCAGGTTTCGTGTCCATCGAACAGGAATTCCAGTTCAGACCACACTTGGAGTCACAGATCGAAGTTGTATTACTTTCTGCATCTCAGTCTCCAAGATTCAGGAACTTGCTGGTCCTCTTGAACAAGTCTATCAGCATCTCAGAACTGAAATTGGTCAGCTAGGAAAGCAGGAGCTACAGAGAATCTTACCATTCATCTGGTTTAGTGGCAAAAACCGGTTACCAAATTTCTTTGCGCATCAGAATTTGGCCTTCCTAGACTTTCGCAAATACGCGAAGCAACCTGATACCAAAATACAAAATAGGATCCAAGAAATCCTTATTTCCATGGACATTCCGTATCACTTTCAGAAAAGATCCATTTTGATCTTATATGCTTCAGGTATGCTCTTAGAAACTTTTCGACAAGCCCTCTTCTACGAAGATATTATCTTGCCTTTTGGCAAAGAAGAAGGGTGCTTTCAATGTAATTTCGACTCCAATGCACAGCCAGACTCCTGGCAAATCGAGCTGCAAATCATTGGAAGCACAAAGTATGAAGCCTATCAGATCGAAGATGACGGTACACTCCTTGACAGTAAGGGGGATGTGGTGCCAGAATTGATCAAATATCTTGCTCAAGAATACGATGCTTCCAACATTCGCACTGCTATAGTACATGTACAAGGCAAAGGACAGCAGAAAATAGTTGCCTTTCTAGCAAAATCTAGCATTCAGCAGCAGATACCGTGTGTAATTAAGGATCATCAAGGAACTGATAGGATGTTACAATACAAGCAGCCAGATGTACTTACAGATCCTCCAATGTCCAATGTGCACATCAAAGAAATGCGAGAAGACCACCACATTATCTCTCAAGCGAAAGGCAACAACCAACATGCAAGAATTAGTGCTTTCTTTCCCTTTCCTCATAACGAATTGTCGCGCCGTCGTTTCAACCGAGTCAAGTCTATCAACGTGTGTGTCAATCGCAGCGACATGTTGTGCACCGTTCTTGATGAAGCTGTCCCTGTTTGCTTGGTCAATCAAGAATTAGCAACTCAAGAGGCTGCTTGTCTGCTTGAATTCTTGATTCATAAGCAGCCGATACTCAACCACCATTCTGCCTTTCTGTCATGTTCCTTCAGTCATCCTGAACAGTCGAACCATGATGAAGTTGATCAAGAAAGCCTTTTGACGCTACCATACTTCTCAAGTATAGTTCATTGTCATTTGAGCTGCAATCAAACCTACCCAGGTTTGAGGATGGCAAAGTCTCAAGATGTATCGGCAACAGCTTATTACTCGCAGTTTATGAGCGCACTGACATTGTCCTCTTTCTTACTGGTCAGCTCGAGATTTTTGATCTCTTTGAAACTGCACCCAGAGGGCACATTATTGCAGTTTGGAAAGTTGCTGATGCAAGTACGACTGCCCATGGTCCAATCGACGAAATCCGCGGTCAGAATTTTACAGATCTTTCAGCTGCACGCCGTGATAGTACAACCAAAGAAGATACAATCTCCAATGCCAAAACTAGACGCCCTAGTCCCTTGCAAAGCGCTAAACAAAAGTCTACCATTGACAGCAAGGGAATTCAGAAAGTCGCCACTAGCCCACAACAAACAGCACCTCCTGTGACATTTAGGAAAGAGGGCACTGCAACGTGTGAGATCAGCCCACTCGACTCTCCCTTAGGTAATTATGCGAGTCCACAGGGCACAACAATTGCCAAGAGAGGGCTTTCTTCCTTAGAAGCCCTTGTAAAGAAAGTGCCAGTTCCCAAGTTGCCAGATGCTTTTGACACGCATAAGACACTAACAGGCAAACTCGAAAAGTATAGCTTACTCGCTGATCGGCCCACAGAGCAGTCTAAAGTACAATCTAAAGAACAAGGTCTAGAACAAATCCCAAGTAGTGACCTTAGAAAAAGCAACAGACTTTTGCTCTCACAAGGTGCTCATCATCCCTCTGCAAGCACACCTGAGCAGGATGCCTTGTTCCCTGCAGAAAACAATGTCACCGACTACCTGTTGCATCTACTCAAATTGATATTGAACCTGCTAGTGACTTTTGTCATACAAGTCAGAAAGAAACCTTAACCCCCCCTCATGGCAACAAGGGCGAAGACTGTCATGGGGACGGACTCATTGACCCTGGTACTAGAGAAGATAAAGCAAAAAAGATTGAGTCAGATTCAAGTCGTCACAAAAAAGATGAAAATGCCTACTTTCACAGTCAGACTTCGCAGCAGACGTTGCAGGGTACTACTGGTGCTGCTCACCTCATTCAAGAACATCTCTTTAGTCCTGTTTGGGCGAATGAGGTTTGTCAATATTCTGACCATCTTCCAACTGAACCAGACCCGACTTTTATTGATGCATCTACAGAGGAAAAAAGCATTCTAGAGATTCAATCTGCTCCTAGCGCCCCTCAA